TTGCCGTCGAACACTACCCTGTCAGTGCTACACGCTGCCCGGTCTCCTCCTGTCGAAATTGCCGGCCAGATACTGAACAATGTGGAAAGATCATTTTTCAGAAAAAGAAGAAACGAACAGATGTCCTTCGGGGCATCCGTTAAAATTGAAACGATACAGAGAAGATTAGCATGAAAGAAAAAAGAAGAAGAAAAAAGAAAAGGGATACCCGGAGGATACCCAAGCGGACAACAAAAGAAAGGAAGTTTTAGCGAAAGTGTTGTAGAGGCACAAGGTGCAGCAACACCATGACAATGATGACATAGGCTTGGATACACTGTGCGCGCTGTATGTGACTTGAACAAGTCGATGCAATCCGCATCACTTTCCTTTCTTTACACGTGTACATCTTCGGCAGATGTTGCACCCATGATCAACAGCCCGACAGCAATACACGTGGGCATATATGCATATGCATGCAATGCACAGAAATGCACACATATGTGACATGTCTAAGCCCTGTCTATTGCCGTTCCTAATGGCCAGCAAACGCCACACAAAGGGCAATTGTGAAATTGCCATCGGTTGAGATCACCTGACATATGTTGGCACCTTTTTGCATAGATGCTTTGGCATCTTCAGCAAAGACCACACAAAGGGCAATTGTGAACTTGCCATTGGGTCGAGTAAGATCAGCCCCGAGAGAAGCCTACAAGCATTCCGAGGCATGCATGTATGTCACAGCTTCATGGCAGAGAAAGCGAAGAACAAAACACAGCTTCATGCAGATCATTTGGCCCCAAGCCATGACTCTGCATGACGTGGGCCTTGAGCCTAATACCCCCCTGATGAGCACGTCTGTTCTCATACGCGCCCTCAAAATGAACACTAAGCAATAGGCCGCACCACCAACGCCACGGCAGACAATGAAGACGACAATGATCACGGGAATGGGTAACTGCCAAGCGGCAGTGCCTCCGATCATGTCATGAGAGCCCGCATAAGTCATGCTGCTGGCAAGCAAATGGCGCATCCAGGAATTCGATTGGATCAGGGAGGGAAGGGGGAGCAGAGGGCATGCCAATCCTGATTATAAGCTGGTTTGAAGGAGCCTCGTGCGACAATCAACCAACTATACGACCGATTGATGTTGCAGCTGAGCCATGCATGTGCAGGCTGGTGGCTGAGTGCAACTGCAGACATGCAGGTTCTGAAAATGTTTCGGTAGCCACAATCCCAGAAACAATGTTCCCATTCTCCATAGACAAACAGGAATGCTCCTTCCGCATACAGCGTCTGGTAGCCATTAGACTGTTTGGAGCATAGGAATTTGCCTACCTTTGCCAGCACCCCATGTCACTACAAGTGCAAGAGTTCTTGTCCACAATCGCACGGCATATGGCTGGAGTACTTACAAGTGTCCCTGGAGACTGCTCCCTCACTTCTGAACAAGTGCGATGATGGCCTTGAGCTTAAACAATTGCCCAACATTCACTTGTCAACAAGCCCACTTCCTTTCTTCTTGTAGTTCTCTTCCTCAGAACACACTGTCAGAGCGCCACGGAGTGAACAATGACCCAGACAACCCCTTCCCTTGCCCTGCAGTCTCCTTCTTCTCCCTTTCCTCCTTTTCCTCGCAGGCCACTGGAGTGCCTGAGAGTGAATAATGACTACAGAAACTCCTTAACCCTGGCCCACCTCCTCCACCTTCCCCTCCCTCCCCTCCTC